TATGACAGCTGAGACTCTGGCCTTGACCTTTAGTTTTCTCCTCTATAAAATATCACCACCTACCCCAATGATGGGTGAAAGCACATTGTAAAGTTAAAAGTGCCACATAAATGCATGTATGAATAGTAACAAGGGGCTGCTGCTTTGAGTCTGGAGGAAGGCCTGCACAGCCATTCACTTCAGCTTTTTGTGCTCACCCTCACTTGGTTGGCAGAATAAATTAGAAATTTCTTCACATTGAGCCAGAATCTGCCTTCTTGATATTACATTGACCTGCTCTTGAAATCTGCTCTCTTGGAAAATATGTAACTTACTTTGGGTTTTACCTCCTGAGGCCACAGAGGGAAAATCTGACCCTCTGCCAAAGAAGAATCTATCAGATAACTGATGATGGTTCTGAGTCTTTGCTGATCCACAATAAACATCTTCAGGTTCCTTAAGTGTATCTCTAACAGCATGGTTTGAGTTCCCTGTTTTATATCTTAGATCACAAGCCCATGAATGAACTCTGGCTGGTCTACTTTTCAACTTAAAATGTGGAGGCCAGAATGGAGTATAAGACCCAGGTGAGGTCACAGATTCAGAGTATCCCACATTCTATTTACTTTGGGGGAAAGCTTTACCATGCTGTTAACCCAACAAATCTCTATCACTTTCTCGCTTCTGCTACTTAGACACATCCCCCATTCTGTCCTAATGCAGCTGGCTTTTTTTGGACACATACAATTATTCAATTTGTCCTATTACATTGGATAAACCCAGCCTATTATTCTATCGTGAAGCTTAGGCTGCTGTTTTTTCTTCTAGTAAATCTCTTTACAGCTTAATTTCCCTGTTGATTCAATCACGATGCCATCAAGTCCTCATCCAAGTCCAAAGAGGACAAAGGTAAGGTGAGTATGCATTCATTTTTCACTTAACAAATTTACAGAGAGTTTGCTATGTGCCAACACAGGGCTAGGTCCTAAGGACATGATGGAAAGCAAAAATTGGCATTCTCTGCTCTCATAGAATTTACCGTATAATGAAAAAAAAAACCAATCAGATAATCACTCTAATTATTATATTAATACAAACTAGGTGTGCCTAAGGATAAGAATGTGGTTTTATGAGAGCATGTAACAAAGTAACCTGACTCAGAGGTGGGTCTTAAGAGAAAGTGACCCTGAAGGTTGAGCAGAGTTGATTAAGTGAGGAGGGAAAGGGGGATACACCAGATGGAGAGTACAGACAAGCACTGTCCTATTAGAAGACTTTCTTCAGACTATTTGTTAGTAGGCTGCTTAATTCCACTACTGTGCAGCTTCCATTTCTCCACCTTGTCTCAAAAGTTATTCTGACGGACTAACTCTTCAAAGCCAAACTGAAGTCTAGTTCATCAATCGGTTCTTACAGAATCCACACTCCTGAAACCAGGAACATTTCCTAACTCGAGCCTTCTCACAACATTCCCCCTTGTATGTATCCTTCAAAGTCAACAACTACATTTTCACAAACATCAGCTCTAAGCTTTCTTCATATTCAAGATGCAATTTATCAAAACCAAGACTCAAGAATTAATTCAGGCAGCTAGAGTGGTATTTTTCCAAGTGTGATCCAAGGACCCAGTGGCATCAGAACCACCTGAGGTGCTTGTTAAACTGCAGAAACCTGAGACCAACTGAATAAGAGTTGAGAGGGCTTAGGAGTCTACACTTCATGAGCTCCCCCAAGTCACTCTTCCATTGCACTGGTTGAGAATTCCTGAGTTAGCTGTGTCCTCACAGCACTGACACTTACGTGGAGATTTAATCCCTGATACTGAATCCTCCTGAGTTTGAAGTACACTGAAGTTGTCTGGCAAAGAGAAAGCAGGGTTTTGAAGGCAGAGACCTGGATTCAAATATGCTCTACTACTTGGTATCCAACTGAGCTTGGACAAGTCAGTTTTCCCAGGCCTCAGTTTCATCTCTAATATGTGAATAAGAATGTCTATTTCAGAAGGATGTTGTGGCAAGTAACCAGGAGAATCAGGTAATGATAGAGAAAGCCTATCATTCTCTGGAACATTCATTGAGGCCTACATACCATTCATAGCAAGCTGAATAAGACATGAGGCATATGCTGCATACTATGTACGCCAGGATGAAGGAAACAATGTTCATTTGCTTTTTGTTTGTTGCCCCTGTCCCTTGGTGGTTAAGGTACAAATTATTCTTGAAGCCTTTTCCAACCCCTGTGCTGTTTTCTGTTAACAGAGTCCCACAAAAGAGTTTTCACCTGCCCTTGAACCACTGTACATATGCTAAAGTCCTGAACCTCAAGCATGGCTTCAACCTGAATCTTCTTCACCAGTCTTATCTCTCATCCACCTCCCCGAGTCTGAGCGCCTAAGATCACACACTGGTTCCACTGCTTATTAGAATAAGGCCTTGGTGAAGTTACTTAAACTCTCTGTGCCTGAGTTTCCTCACCTGTGAAAGAGGGATAATAACTGTGCCTATTTCATGGGGATTTCCCAAGTATTAGATGATAACTCAGGATGCACTCATGTTATTCTGTCACCGAGCCCACATGAGCAGCTGCTTCCTCTAAGTTCTCTGAAGGCTCACAGCTTCTCCTTCCCTCTGGATTGTCAATTTCTCTTTGCCTGTAATGTATTCCGCCTCTCCTCACTGCCACCCTCCACTCCTCCATGCTTAAATGTCATTCCTCTGAGAAGGCTTTAGGATCCACCCCCTTCACTTAACAATTAGGTTAAGAACCCTTGTTAAACACTCACCCGCTCTGTACTTTTCCTTTGAGGCACTTATTATAATTCAGTGTTTGTTCACGCCATTAAAATAGGGAGTGTCTTACACTGCTCCCTATCCACCCTGATACATAGCACAATTCCAAGTCCATAATAGCACGCATCATTTAAGTATCTGAGAAATAATGACTTCTTAAATCTGACTAGGCCCAATCTTTCTCTCTTGGGATTATAATAATCTCTAACAGTCACTTTTCTGCCAAGGGGCAGGACTCTTCACTCCCTTTACCTTCTGGGGTAAGATTTTCACAAATGCAAATCAAGAATTTAACAAATGAACTTGTGGCTGAGTGAGACTGCCAGGAATGTGTGTTGATTCAAGTTATTTTAGATTTGCACTGCTCAGTATGGTAGCCATTACCATCTGTGGCTACTAAGCACTTGAGATATTGCTAGCCCAAAGTGACATATGCTTAAGTGTAAAATACACTCTGGATTTTAAAGACTTGGTACAAAAGAAGAACGTTAAATATCTCATAATTTTTAATATTCATTACATGTTGAAATGACACTATTTTGGAAATATGGGGTTAAAGAAAATATATTATTATAAATTAATTTTACCTATTTTTTTAAAATCTCTTTAAGCAGCTACTAGAAAACTGGCACATATGGTTTGCATTGGGTTTCTATTGGATAATGCTGTTTTAGTCTATATGCATGAAAGGTATGTTCTATTTCACAACATCCCTCCATGTCTTCTCATTTTAATTCACAAAACATGCTCCAAATTCCTTGAGCATTTCTCAGTAATCGTATTTCTGATGCATAGGCTACTCCACCAGCCCTGTGAGCACATCTGATCCTTTTTAATAGGGTAGTTTCCTACAATTGTATTTAATCTTGAGTCTCATTACATCAAATCCTAACACTGGAGATTTACCATCCTGTGGCTACTTTCTTTTTGCATTGTAAACATTATGGCTAAGAACACAAGATCTACAAGGGACCATTTGTTTTGGAGTCCTGGCTCTGCCACTTACTAGCTGTGCAACTTTGTTACTCTTAATATCTCTGTGCCTCAGTTTCCTCAACTGAAAAATGGGGATAACAGTGTCTACTTCATAGGGTTGAGAGTAACCTTTGATATTGGTAAAGTGCTAAGATGGTCTCTGGCACACAGTAAGCATTCAATAGGTAAAGACTCAATGCACGATTATACACCTCTCACCCTTTCCATCCACTCACATGTTCTCCTGTAACACTGGGCACCTCTCCTAGTGATGTTTTCTTTCCAAAGCTGACATTTTACACTCTAATTCCAAAACTCTGCTACTCCCCAGCTGAGAGCAGCACTTGGGTAAGGTACTTCACTTCTCTCGATTTTTAGTTTGTCCGTAAATGAAAATGGCTATTGTCACCTTCATTGCACAAGTCTGAACCACACAATGTATACAAAAGTTCCTTGCATGGTCCTTAGTATTTAAAGGATGCTTCATTTGCATTTTCCGATTTAAAACGTGTGATCCTGACAATAGACCAGAAGGTAGGTATTTTAAGAAGAAGGAAACAGAATCCGGGAAGTCAAGACTTGCTCGAAGTTGCACAGACAGCTACAGGGCAGCGCCAATACTAGAACGAGGTTTCACTCTGAATCCAACGTTTTTTCATGAAATCTAAACTGCTCTCCAATAGCATGAGCGTTAGAACCTATTTATGCTGTTTATGGCATTCCAATAATAATTGAAAGATGCAGCAACCGGCAAACCTGCCCACTGAAACTGCAACAGAAAATCAAAATACAGATTTTCTGAATGTTATTACGAGGTCAAAGAACCCAAGAGCCCTAGAGTTGAGAGTCGTGGATTAAATCTCGGCAAACAAAACTGAGCCACGAGTTCCTCCTCTAGCCCCTCCGAGGAAAGTAGGGGTGAGGAGATGCTATTGTTGGGCCTTCGGGATGGCCAGGCGGCCCCCAGACCCGGAGGAGGCCACGGCCGCACCTGGCCGCCGGACCCTCCCCCTCGGATCTCCAGGCCCAGCGCTGCGCCCGCCCGCCCCTCACCTCCGGCTCCGGGCGCTCCGAGGCCATCACACAGCCCTCCCGCGCCGGCCCGGGCCAGAAACGATGCTCCGCTCCTGACCCCTGACCCGGAGGTCTCGCGACTGGCGGGGCCGGAAGTGAGTGGGAGGGTCGAGTTCTGCGCTTTCTAATTGGCTGACTTGGGAACCGGAAGAGGAAGTGATTGATACCGCCCCCGCCGCCGCAATGCAGGTGAGGACCAGTTTGTTGCCAATGACCGCTACCTAGTTTCGGATAACGAGACCGAAAGTGGGCTGGCCGAGGAGAGAGTGAGGAGTTGGGGCTGAGAGGACGGGGTCGAGCCCGCGACTGTGAGATAAGGGGACGCGCGATGGGTGCGAGGACCTCTGGAGAGGGATGGGGGTGGAGCCCGGCTGACAGGAGACAGAAACAGCGGTTAAGTTGGGACGGAGAAGGCAGCACTGTCTTGCTAGGGTGTGGAAAAGGATCAAGTTGTAATTTGGGAAGGTGCAGTCCAAGGAAGATGGCTCAAGAAAGAGGTGGATTGGGCTCGGGCTCAGGCTCCGGCCTAGGCTGTTGGATGTGGACAGAAGAGAGAATCTGTAGTTGGAGAGAAGCCCGAGGGTGGAAGGAATTGTGGGACCGTGGCGGCCAGAAGCTAGACTAAATAATCTGAGGCCGTGGGTGGAACCCAGCTCCTGTCCTGCACGTCTGGGGTTTTGCAGTTTTGCTTCATTCTTCCTAGTGTGCCCTAGTAGTTAAGGATGAAATGAGATAAAACTGGAGATCGTAGACGTAAAGGAAATGCTATGGAGACCCCTCAGCTTTTAATATAGTTTGTCTAGTGCTTGGGTGCATGTGCGGTTTTGTTGTTTTGTTTTTCATTTGTCACTGTTTGTTGCACAAGGGTAGTTGTCAGTACATATTTATAGGTTGACTAAGCTTGCGAGACGGGCACAGGAATATTGGCACAGCAATAAAGTGAGTGCAGATTAATTTAGCAAGGAAGAGGTTGAAACAGCAAATGCTGAGGGAAGAGGAAGGTGGGGGTGGCAGCGGTGGTGGCGGTGGCAGTATTCTGAGGAGCCTTCCTGTGTAGGTAGGTTTTCCAGAGATTACGTCATTGCCAAGAACAGCCAGGTTCACAGGGCAGGTTCTGGAACAGAGGACCTATGCTGCTGAGGTGTCCCAAACATAATAAATCCAGGCATTACGTCTGCTGAAAATTGTCCAATGAGGGAGAACAGAGAAAAACCAAGCCTAATATAGAGAAACAATCACGCCTGGATTAAAAGCAATGAGAGGAAGGAATCAGTAGGTAGGAGGAATTGAGGTCAGATGAATGGGTTTAAAGGTCTTAGGGTTGATGCTGTCTGTGATCCTAATACCAAAGAGAGTAAACAACCTGACTCTCCCTGTGCCAATGAGATTCTGTGTCACTGTACTGGTGTTGCACACTGTCACCCTGGCTTTTCAGCCATCCTCTGTATGCATCATCATTACACTCATCTGAGTAACCAACCCATTCCTGTTGGCTCAGAGGGAGGAAAAACAGCTTGAGGCATCATTAGATGCACTGCTGAGTCAAGTGGCTGATCTGAAGAACTCACTGGGGAGTTTCATTTACAAGCTGGAGAACGAGTATGACCGGCTGACCTGGTAAGAGTTGCCAGGGCAAGCTGGGGAGGGCTTGGGTATCTCCAGCATTTATCACTTTGTGAACATCTTTTGATTTAGAAAGAGCTGGGTTTCCTAACATTTAACAGTGAAGTTGGCCTTAGGCCCCAGTTGTAAGGGAAGTAGTGAAATGCCCAATTTCTCAACCCGGGTTCTTTCTAGCTTTTCATTCTCCCTGTTTGACTTCTCTGGAATGAGGTCCTCCAGCAGTGGGTCCTCCCACCACAGTATTCACACTGGATTTCTTGCCACGGGTGTTGCTAAGTCTTTTAGGTTCAATCTACTCAGAAAGTTTGGATCTGGAAGGGGATCTTTTACCCAGTTTCTGAAGTTCTAGTGATAATAGTGTAGCCATCGTTCCTATTTTGCCATTGTGTTCACCCCATTCAAATATAGTAGTTCCCCATAATCTAGTACTGAATCCTAATCTGTATATACTGTGGGTTTTTTTTCTATACTACTTGTGTGGGTAGTGTATACAGAATGGATATGCTGGACAAAGGCATGATTAACATCCCGGGTGGGACAGAGTGGGATGAAGCAAGATTTCATCATGTTCCTCTGAACACCTCCCAATTTAAAGACATGGATTGTTTATTTCCTGGATTTGTCATTTGTTATTTATTGACCACAGGTAGATGAAACCTCAGAAAGTGAAACTTAGGATAAATGGGACTACTATAATGACCTGTCTTTTTTCTCCATCTGTGTCAGGAACACAAAGTGCATCCCTCTTTCTTAACCCCATAATCCCTATGAGCCAGTCTAGTTCCTGTCCAGGCCAGCATAGGGCTGTAAGTCTTTTGGGGGTGAGTCTGTTTATTACTAGTCTGAGGGACCTCTTTGAGGCTCCTTTACCAGGAACATTCTGACGTCTTCTTACCACCACCAGGCCATCTGTCCTGGACAGTTTTGCCTTGCTTTCTGGACAGCTGAACACTCTGAACAAGGTCTTGAAGCATGAAAAGACACCACTCTTCCGCAACCAAGTCATCATCCCTCTGGTGTTGTCCCCAGACCGAGATGAAGATCTCATGGTAAGAGGAGGAGAGGGATGCAGCTTAGGAAACAAAGTTCTTAAATGAGGTCTGACAGCACAGTGGTTGGTTTCTATTCTAGAAATTTTGAATATACAGTAGTGTGTGGCAATAAGTGGGGGCTACATTTTGGAGGCCTTGCTTGTTGTCCTTCTGGAGTTGGGAGACTCCCAAAGAGTGCTAAATTAACCCAAGGCCTCCGGCACCAAGATAAAGACCTTTTTTCCTCTTTCCTCCAACACCTGTCTCGAGCAAAGAGTTTGTTTTTTTGTAACCTTTCCTGTTTCAATCTTTGGTGAAAATGTGGCAGAGAGGGGTTTATCCTTAGATCTGGTAGAGATAGGGGTGAGTAGATAGAACTGAAGGATGGATTGAGAGGGATGGTGTCTTAGGAAGCCAGATATTATTAGTCTTAGGTTGTGTTTTCCCTGAAAATGCACTGTTTGCCTGTGAAAGGAACTATGTGTATATCAGGCCAGAATTGAATCTTCTTGGAGTGCACAGTAGGATCAATAAAATCTGTGTGTTACAGAGGCAGACTGAAGGACGGGTACCTGTTTTCAGCCACGAGGTGGTCCCTGACCATCTGAGAACCAAGCCTGACCCTGAGGTTGAAGAGCAAGAGAAGCAGCTGACCACGGATGCTGCTCGCATTGGTGCTGATGCAGCACAGGTTGGACTGAGTCACTGCCCTGCTGCCCCACACCCCCGAGTTTTACCTGGAGAAGCTGAGTATTCCCACTCCTCTATTGTAGGGTATGGCAGTTGGTTATGCCTCCATTGCCCCTGGAATAGCTCAAGGAAGAAACTTTCCTGTAATCATTTCTTGCTTGCCCTAATTTCTGCACAAACTTACATGTGTTACAGAAACAGATCCAGAGCTTGAACAAGATGTGCTCAAACCTTCTGGAGAAAATCAACAAAGAGGAACGAGAATCAGAGAGTGGAGGTATGGAGGGATTGGTGGCAAAGTGGTGGGGGAAAGAGGGATAAGATCATCGAAATAGGAAGGGTGGTGTTGGTAGTGGTGAAATGAGGATGCAGGGATGTGCTGTTTAGCCAAGGGTATGCATCTGTTCTTTTGGCCTTCTATATTTCAGGCCAGCTCTGGGGCAGGTGGAGAAAGGCGCAAAGGGAGAAGGGAGAATTCTGAGATAGTCATGGGGGTCCTCTGGCTCTTCCTCTGGGTTGCCAGGAAGTCTGGATGCTACCGAAGTCAGAACTCCAAGCCCTGGCACTCATACTGGTCTTCCTGGTGCTAGATGCAGTCCAGGGCCAGAGGCATACCTCAGGGTCTCCACTTCCCTTGCCCTTCAGGTCTCCGGCCGAACAAGCAGACCTTTAACCCAGCAGACACCAATGCCTTAGTGGCAGCTGTTGCCTTTGGAAAGGGGCTGTCTAACTGGAGGCCTTCAGGCAGCAGTGGTCCTAGCCAGCCAGGCCAGCCGGGAGCTGGAACAGTCCTCGCAGGAGCCTCAGGATTACAGCAGGTGCAGATGGCAGGAGCTCCAAGTCAGCAGCAGCCAATGCTCAGTGGGGTGCAGATGGCCCAAGCAGGTCAGCCAGGTAAGGTGACAAGGACTGGCTTGGTGACAGACCTGGAGCAGGAATGTGAAAATAAACTGGGTTATCTGCCACACTTCCCCCTCACCCCATCCCCAGAACTGGAGACATTCTCCTTTTCTCCCTTGGGCTGTGACCCGGCAAAAAACTCTTGAGAGTGAAAGCCTCATTTGAGACTCTGTTAATAGGCACCAGACAATGAGAAAGAACTTTGACTAAAGTTGCCCTTAGCTACCCTTCTGTCCCCTTTAACTTTGGGTAGGTGTGTTTTCAGTGTCTCACTCTAAGTATTAGGATCATTGGGTAGATGTGTTGGGAATTGACAAGCAGGCAGGTTTTCCAGTGCTACATGTATTCCTTGCTCTGTATCCTGTCTCTTCTGCTCACTCTTAGTAATTATAAGAACAGTCTGGAGGGGTTCGGGTATAAGCAGCTGGAAGAAGTATTTTCTTCCAAGCTGTCTAGGCAAAGGGACAAGCTCTCTTTTTCCATTAGGGGAGGAGCAGGAGCCTGCAGGGATGTGTTCCAGCCCTTCCCACTATTCCTCCTCCTGACCACCTTCAGGTAGAGGCCTGAGCAGGGAGCCGTACCTCTGAGCCTTGTCACCCAAGCTCAGATGCCACAGATTCTGAGCTGATGGAGGAGGTGACAGAAGGGAACCTGGGAGACAACACTTCTGATTTATGATGAATATCTGACTGTGCTTCAGGTGTCTTTCTTCATGTTCTTTTTAGGGAAAATGCCAAGTGGGATAAAAACCAACATCAAGTCGGCTTCCATGCATCCCTACCAGCGGTGAGTGCGGGTGGCAACCTCCACTCCCAGGTGCTCTTTTCAGAGTTGGGAAGTGAAACTGCCTTTTGCCCAAAGCTGACCTGGATGGGTACAATGAAAAGAACACAGCTTTCAGCCACAGACAGATCCCATCTCCACTGCCAACTAGCTGTGTGACCTTGGGCAAGTGACCTGCTTTTTATGAGCCTGTTTTTTGGTTTATAAATGACGGCAATACCTACCTCATAGGGTTGTTGTGAGGATTAAAATGGGAAAATGATGTAAAACACTTAGCACAATCTATGAAATAAGGAGTATTCAATAAATGAGAGTTTCTTCAGCCACTTCTCCCCACTGCCCCCTCCTCGGTTTTCGATCCAGAACTTGCCCTGATCTGAGACTGCTTCATGTCTGTGGTGAGCTGATGGACACAAGATCGTGGACCACTCAGCTTTGTTTGAAAGCCTGTGCTTATTTTGTGCCGCCAGAGCCGGTGACAGCTTCTGTGTCCTTAGAGGCCCGCTGCCTCCGCAGGCCTTGCTTCCCAGATTCCAGCCTGGCCATCTCTCCAGGCTGCAGGTGACAAGGCCTCCAGGCCGAGACAGACCATCCACTTACAACTCTGGAGAAGCCTGGGCCTGCTCTGCTCTCCATCCTGTCAGAAGCCAGTTCAGCTCTCATCTGGGAACTAGTCAGAGTCCCCTATCCTTTACCCCACCCTGGGCACATGAGGGAAGATGTTGAAGTCCCAGTAGGTGGGGGCTTCCTCAGGAAGTGGCTCTGCCAGGCAGGACTACGTGAAAAAGGGTTTTGTGAGCACGTGAAAATGTCCCTTGTTCCCCAGACTTTTTTTTTTCCCCCTGTATTTTGGAGGGAGAGGGGAATTGCACCTCACACTGTCTCTCATTATGGTTGAGTCATCCTCGAAGTGTGCCTGGTTCCTGGGCTCAGTTAGCATGACTTTTCTCCAGTCCACTGAGCTGGTAGTTCCAATAAGGGTCAAGTGGATGGTGGGAGGTGGCAGCTGCCAGCAGTTTTGCCTGCTTCTATAAAGCTGGAGAGGAGAGTGGGCTTGGGTCACCAGCTTAAGCTGCCTTTCTTGGCTCTCCTTTGCAAGCGAGGGCAGGAGTTGAGTCAGCAGAAGTGGACCAAAGGATTGCTCTGAATAAAGTTATTTAAGTTGATGACCACTGTGTCAGGGTTATCTGACAGCAGGTAAATTGAGAGAGCTATGTGGGGATTGGAGACTACATGTCAGAGACTTTCAAGGTTGCTGCAAGGCAATATTTTTAAAAATTTTACTTATTTACTTGGCTGTTCTGGGTCTTAGTTGCAGCATGCAGGATTTTTGGTTGTGACAGGTGAACTCTTAATTGCAGCATATGGGATCTAGTTCCCCAACCAGGGATCAAACCCAGACCCCTTACAGTGGGAGCCCAAAATCTTAACCACTGGACCACCAAGTCCCAAGGCAATTCTTGTTTGTTCTCCAATAAAAAGTTTTCTTAGGTTTTTTGTTTTTTTTCTCTTATCTGTAGGTTTGATCTAAAAGTCTTGAGAGGTAATAAGAGGGCATGCTCATTCCTCCCAGCCTTTTTTCTGTTCTTTTCTGTCACACATTAGTACTTCGGTTTTTTGTTTTTTTTCTCTTATCTGTAGGTTTGATCTAAAAGTCTTGAGAGGTAATAAGAGGGCATGCTCATTCCTCCCAGCCTTTTTTCTGTTCTTTTCTGTCACACATTAGTACTTCGGTATTTGTTCAGTGCCAGGCAGGATTCTGCCAGGCTGTGGCAGCAAAGGACTGGAAAAGTAGTCACAGATGTCACATCCATTTCAGTTCCATCACGACCAGATGTGTATCCACACAGCTCACTGATCACAGCACACAGAGCGTGGCGAGTCCTGCCGTCAGCTGAGGCAGCGTCAGACGTTCTCCCCGCCACAGCAGGGCTGCCTTACTGACCTGGCAGCCCACTCACTCGTTCCTTCTCTTCTCTTCCCTTTGCACTGGAAATATCCGAGCTCACTGTCACATTGGATAGAATTCAAGGTGTGCATCTCCAAAACCCCTGGAGTATCTTGGTGACCACTCTCCTTTATTCCACCCAAAGATTCTTCCTGTTGAAAGTTTCTTGAAAACGTTTTAAACCTATTGAAACTAACCCCAAGTGTCTTTGTTGTCTCAGACTAATGGCAACGTCATCCCGAAAGTACTATTTGAAATGGATTCCTTGTCCTCCCAGAGTGGAAGTGCCCTCCTGTCCCAAGAGGAGCATACTCGGGACCCCACTTCTATCTCGTGCCCTTAAGCAAACTGTCTTTACATCTATATTCACTCTGAGAGGACATGCTCTCATTCCCAACCTCCCAACCCCCGATCCTCTGGAGTGTACAAACCTAGCAGCATCACCAACTTTGGGGCTCATACAGCCCAGCAAGTGTCTCAGTGGAGAGTATCTCCCATCCCTAACATACTCATCCCCAAAGGAGGGAATGGAGATAATATAGAGTTTCAAGAAAAGGATATTGACCTGCTGTTCCCTTGCTCAGATTTAAGATAAAAAGATGGCACTCTTGCTTCCCTCTGGTAGTATTGTCCAGTTTCTAATGGCTTTGTTTTGCCTGGGGCCTGTGCTTTCTTCTACTCTTGGGGACCCGGGGAAAATGAGGTTAGGCCATTGTCTCCCAGGTGTGCGTCTGGGATGGCGAAAGAAGCAGCAGCTGTGAAACTTAACTACAGCACAGAGGTCATCCTGTTAAAGGCGGAAGCTTACTACATCAGTATTTGCATGACACCCATTGCTGGGACTGCCCCTCTCCAGCTCTGCCCTGAGGCTGGGACTCTGTCATTGCTGAACATCTCTTCTGCACATTGCCCAAGTCACCCTGTTTTCTTCCTCTGCTGGTGTCTATTGCTGCCCTGCCTAGTTAGGTCATTTAACTTGACCTTGCACTTTCTTGGGAAATAGTCAAGGTAGATAGGTTTTAGCTGAGTGCTCCTTCAAACTCCATAATCAGTCCTGGTGTTTGGACTGAACTGGAGCCGATATAGTGCCCACCTCCTGTCCTGCTGTTGAAGGGAAGAAGCTGATCTCTGCAGGAATGCCCTAGTGCAAGGCCAGTCCCTTTCCCACCCCCTTCTCACCTCCCCCAGGCAGCTGGGAACAACCTCTCCCTTTGTCTGAACTTCTTGTACAGAATAATCCTCCTTACGGACAATGTATTCTCTGTGCCTTGTGGACACAGGAGCCGTGTGAGCTGATCCCAGCACCAGGCAGGACGGGGGCATAATCCTTCCAAAGGCCCACGCTAGATCAGCTCCTAATTACTGTCTAGAGAAACCGCCAAGGGATGTACATTTTCTTCCATCTGTTCCAAGTTGTGGGGGCTGGCCTATTGAAGTTTAGCAATGGGCCAGGAGTAGGACTGGGGGCTGTGGTCCCTTTGTGATTCAGTCTGGAGGGTTCACTGTGCCAACCTATGGAGGCTCAGTGTGGCTCTGGCCTGACAGCCTTGAACACACAGGGGCTAACATTTGGAAAGAGTTTGCCACCCTGCAGGTGAGGCTTTCTAACTGAAACTCCAGTCATTGCTTCAAGATGTATTTTGTCCTATGGGACAAATTTCCTCTCTTCTTCCCTTTAACTTCTGTCTCTTATTTTCTATTGAGGCAGGTTTTGGCTGTCTGTTGTCACCTCTTGATCAGTTCACATGCTCTCAAAATATCATCTTCCCCCAAGTACACAATGGACAAGGCCCCTGAGTTCCCTGGGCCTCCGTTTTCTCACCTGGGTGCTCCCAGTGATCCTTCCTAGCTTTCAAGTCTCTGACAATGATTCTGAAGCCTGTATATCCCCAGGCATTTTTCATTTTCCTCATTGCATGACTATGTTATGATAGGCAAAGTTTTTCTTAGACTGGCCTGCCAATCCCTTGAACTCCTCCAAACTGTTGCTAAATTTCCCTGTCACCTGCAGCTTAAAATACAGACCTCCCTCTAGACCACTTCCCTAAAATTGTTTCCTAACTTTCACTAGTTCTTTAGTAAAAGTTACAACAGAGATAAATACATTGAATGCCAGAAGTCACCTTCCCACTCAGGCATCTCCTTCTCTCTGGGCGAGAGACTCCACCCACCCCCCCACCCCCCCACCCCCCCCAGGCAGCAAATTCTGCTTTTCCACATGATGATAACCTTCCCCGTGGAATCGAAATATGCACTCAGGCATCTCCTCTCTGGGCAAGATATATCTCTGGGCAAGAGATAAATACATTGAATGCCAGAAGTCACCTTCCCACTCAGGCATCTCCTCCTCTCTGGGCAAGAGATTCCATCCCCCCTAAAGGCAGCAAATTATACTTTTCCACATGATGATAACCTTCCCCATGGAATCGAATCCAAGGCACCAGGGGTTGCTCCCCTTCCTGTGTTTCCTCTGCCATTTCACTCCCTTCCCTGCTGTCACCCAAATTTCCCTCCTTCATGGTCATTTTGATAATGAATCTTCCCTGACCCACAGCCCATGTGTAGACCATCCTTGTTTTGTACTCATTTCTCTGGGCTGCACCCATTTTCACAACCCTGGTTAGTATCCTTCCATGTTAATCCTTGAGCTCACATCACCACTCACTTGACTCTCGGCCATGCTCTTGAAATACGGAGCCATCTTACTTCACGCCCCACACTCACTCTTTAGCCCCACTTCCAGTCTTCCTCAGGAGCTAGCCTGTCTCCGATCACTGTTGACCTGATAGCTAAATCCAGACTTTTTTCAGTCCTTCTGTCTCTTACTTATCTTCATGGTTTTAAACAGGGCTGGCCTTTGCTTTTCCACCTTTTCCCCTTTACTGGCTCCCACTTCTCTGACCTTCCTTTCTCTGCAGCTTTTGGCCTTCTGTTCCTCTGCCTGCTTCTTAAATGTTGTTATTCTCCAGGACTCTGTCATTAACCTGCTTTTCTTATTCTACCTGCTGTCTCTGTGACCACCACTTTTATGTACACAATTCAAACAAGTTTTATCAGAC